GATCTCGCTCAACTCCTAGGCGACTCTTATCGTGGAACCTCAATTTTGGACGTCTCTCCGATTATGCCTCGAGCTGGAGACCATAAAGTTCGTAATTCGTCCGACCCTCACGCGCCAGCCGTACTTTTCTACACGAGCGGGACGACCGGAATCCCCAAGGGGGCCATCCTGAAGCACAGGAACTATGTCAACCTAATTGAGGCCTCTTCGCGCAGGCTCCAGGTACGACCAAAGGAGGAGGTGATTCTCCAACAAACCGGCGTCAGCTTTGATCTTTGTCCATTCGAGATTTTCACTGCTTTCTCGAACGCGGCCACATTGGTCATGGCTTCCAAGGACCAGCGCAGAGACCCATCAGCCATCGTCGACCTCATCAAGAGCGAAAAGGTTACGTTAATGGCTGGCACACCCGTCGAGTTCAAGCACATCTTCCAACATGCTTCGGACGTACTCAAGACTTGCGAAAATTTCCGGACCGTGGCTGTAGGGGGTGAAATCTTCACACCTCAGCTGGCAGCCCAGTTCAAGCAGGCAATGCCGCCAGGCGCGAACGTCTTCAACGTGTACGGACCGACGGAGACGTGCATTTTCGCCACAGTAGAGTGCGTCAAGTACTTGGAAGATGGCTTGGACTTCGTGCCCGCGGGCCCTGCCTTGGACAATGTCTCGATATACGTTGTCGACGACAGAATGAACCTCGTACCAGAGGGCTGCGCCGGAGAAGTCTGCATCGGAGGTGCAGGCGTCAGTCAAGGATACCTCCGCCGTCAGGAGCTCACCAACAAGTCTTTCGTTTCGGATCCCTTTGCCACCGCGGATGATCATGGAAACGACTGGAAGATGATGTACCGCACCGGCGACTCCGGCTATTTGAAGCCAGATGGCTCGCTCGTCATTCTCGGCCGCATCAGTGGCGACAGCCAAGTCAAGATCAGAGGAATTCGCATCGAGCTTGAGGATGTTGCGTCCAACATTCTCAAGACTGCGAACGGAAAGCTCGCAGAAGCTGTTGTGACCGTGCGCGGAGAAGACAAGACCTTGGTTGCCTTTGCCGTAATCGCAACTGACGCTCAAATCAAAGACAGCGATGGGTATCTCCGGTCACTCCCGGCAAGCCTCCCTCTTCCGGAGTATATGCGGCCTTCTATCATCATTCCGCTTCAACAGCTTCCCATGAACCACAATGGCAAGTTGGACCGGGCCGCATTGAACAAGATACCGATCCCAGCTCAGGCTGAGGAAAGCAGCCAAGAAACGCTCACTCCACTCGAGCGTGACCTGCGTCAGGTTTGGGAACAAATTCTTCCTGACACCATTTCTCAAACGACTGGCATTCTTCCCAACTCCGACTTCTTCCGTCTCGGAGGAAACTCCCTGCTGTTGGTCAACTTGAGAAAGAAGGTGCAGAAGCAGTGGCAAATCTCTGTGCCTCTTCTACATTTGTTTGAAGCAAGCACTTTGCGGTCCATGGCAGCTATGATTCGAGGCGCCAAAGAATCTAAAAATGACGGCATCGACTGGGAATTCTGGGATGAGCAAACCCGTTTTGACGGTCATGCAGCCATCGAGGGAGTAAGCGCTGCTCCATCTCACGTGGTCCCGAGGGAAAACAAAACCGTTGTTCTAACGGGCGCAGCTAAGGGACTGGGATCATGGCTCCTGAAACTCCTTCTTGACGACCCGTCCGTTGGCAAAGTTCACTGCATCGCCATTAGTCAGGAACAAGTGACCCAGCTTCCGGCAAGCGACAAGCTCGTGATTCACATCGGAAGTCTTGCGGATCCAACCCTTGGTCTTTCGGGTGAAGCGCAGCAAACCTTGAAAAGAGACGTGGACATCATGATCCACGCCGGAGCTGAGGGTTCTTGCCTGAACAACTATGACTCCATTCGCGTTCAGAATGTAGAGTCAACGAAGTTCGTGGCAAATCTGGCTTTGGCCAGGAAGGTGCCATTCCACTACATTTCCAGCCCCCGCGTCATCCTGTTCAGCGGAGGCAACACGTACCCCGAGCGACCCATTTCAGTACATTATCCTCCTGCGGCTCTCGGCAGAGAAGGATTCACCTCAACAAAATGGGCAAGCGAGACGTATCTCGAGAAATGTGCGGCCGCGACCGGGTTACCTGTGTCGATTCATCGCGCGGGTTACCTCATGTCCGAAGACGCTGATGAGATGGACGCCGTCAACATGATCCACAAGTACTCAGCCATCCTCAAGGCAGTTCCATCTTTGGCCACGTTTTCGGGCTTTCTGGACATGTGCAAGTTGCCGACAACGGCGGGAGCGATTCTTCAGTCACTGACGAATGACGATTTTGGAGTCTCCTACGGCGCAACCAGAATTATCCACCACACTGAAGGCAACGTGGTGCCGGTTCATGAGTTCCAGAGTTACATGGAAGCTCGTTTTGGTCATTCTTTCAAAAGTATGAGTATGGTTGATTGGGCTACCGAGGCCGAGGAGAAGGGTATGAGCGCCGTGTTGGCTGCTTTCTTGGAAGCCGTGGTTGAGAGAGGCGATGAAGCGCGTTACCCCAGACTATTGCGCGGAAGTGAGCAAGATTGAGGAGCTCAAGGATAGAGAGGGACAGTGTCCAGTCCCCGGAGTTAGTACATCAGCTTTGAGTTTAATAGGGAGTGAAACTTTTCGTTCTATGTTTTCGCGACAATTTGATTTGTCGACCACAGCGTGCTCCTGACTAGGATCTATTACGTGCACATGGCTTCCACATGGCGACGACAAGGGGCAAAGCAAGGCGGAAGCTGCATGAAGCTGCGTGCGTACATATATTTTCACAGCGAAAATATTCCCGTGTCGCTGGTTCGACATCAGGACGATTCCGAATAGCCTACCCTTGCCGGGCATGACGGGACGAACCCCAGTCCATGTTCCGTGGTATCGTCAGCTGTTGGCAGCCTCGGTTAGAAGCAGGTAACGAGCGGCTGGGACAATCTGAGACGATTGACCATGAAGATCCACAGCAACGGAGGTCTCAAACCGCGTTGCGAACCGCTTCAAATCCTATTCAGTGGACCCAGTCTGTATTGATCGAGCTCTACGGGTTTAAAGACTTGCATGACTCATGTCGCATGTTGTACTGGCAATTTAATCACTCATTATTATCATGACAGTATCTAACTGAGGAGTCATAGAATGCTCCTGATTAAAGTGTCTGCAGGTCATGGTAGTGGTATGGGCTTTTCTGAAACAAGCCGGTATGTCTACGGAGAGCAGGGGACGTCGTTCTTTCCTAGCACCAAGCCATTGTCTGCACAGCCCTTTGAGAGAGCTACGAACTTGTCAAAGTCGCTTGAGCGAAGGCAACAGAACTAGGGGCTGTTAGACTCGACCGCAATTACGTTGATTCAGCCACATCAACAACAAAAAGCAATGACTTACCCCAGGAGATGGCAGAACAGCGCCTCCAACAGCTTGGCAGAAATTATTACTGGCTGCATGTTTGCCGTCAATGGTTTGACAAAAGACTGTCTGGAATTCGCCTTGTCTGTGCGGTGTCAAAGAAATTAGCCACGTGCGCGCACAAACACGATCTTCGTTGATGACTTGACAAGTCCCTTTGGAGATTAGGAGTGGAAGAGTGCTTACCCGGAGACGCTAATAACGAAGGAGAGAAGGGAGGCAACAACGGCGACCGAAGCACGCATTTTGATTGCAGCGAGAGTGAAGGAGCGGATCTGGAAAAGAGAGAATTAAACGAGCGATCGACGCGTCGGTAAGGCTTTCGATATTTCAAGAACAGAACAGCAGAAATGGGCTACCGAGTGTCAGTCAAAAGAGGGTTCATTATTAGCGGCGATCATCACGACTTTAAATACCAGTCAGTCGCGGAGCTATCTAGACCCATGGTGATATTTTCTCGATGTTAACATCTCAAGCTGCCAAAAACCCCAGATGCCAGCATCGTCAGGGTGAGATTCCGCTCAAATCACACATCTGGCGTCGCAACACCGCCTCCTGACATGCCCCAGAGACCAGCCCCAGGAAGCCAAGCCTTCGGGCAAAGCCGACGGATGTCGGGACCGCTGGCTGGCTATGTCAAGGACCACCAACCTTAAACTTATCGGAAGAAGATCGGTCCTGGACGCGGTACCTCGCCTCAAGGGACCACGAAGTGTATGCCCAACTATCCATAGTAAGGTTGATCTAGAATAACGAGGGATCTGGATCAGAAAGATTCCAAAGATGATCAGACCCTGTGGCGTCGTCACGTGGCTCACGCCGTTCGCCTCCCATCTCCATCCGCCATCCGCTAGAACCGAGAGATCCAATCTTTTCATTTGCTCAAAAGTCAAATAGTCTGGGCGAGGCGTGCCATGATGAAGCAGTCCGGCAGCGTAACTGCCGTGCGCGACGTTAAAGAGGCGGAAAGCTCGCAGACACGCGAGTCAGGGTCGCTCGAAGGCCACCATCATACCGTTGCATGGTGCGTTTGACCAAAAAGTCTATTCGCTGGGAGAGTTGACCGTATTTCCTCATCGCACCGCTTGGACATTCCCGCACAAACACCCATCCCACGTGCGGCACGGCCTACGAGTGCCGTGCGGACGAAGGAAAAAAGTCCCTACATGAGGTACATGAGGGAGTTCCGATCGACTCCATCCCCAAGCTTTCCCAGCAGAGTTTCCCCAGGGAGCCCTTCCTCGTCTTTCTCCGTTTCAAAGTTTCCCATCTATCCCCATTACCCCCCAGTTCCCCCCTCTTTTGTCGCCAAATTTCCTTTTCGCCGCACGTTGGGCAATACGTTCATCGTCAGTCGACCCTGAAAATCGTCGTTAAGGTCGTCGAAACACCATCGCGGGCCCCCGTCGTTCCCGCCCCCGTATTTACCGATCGACAATACCCACATCGGCGCGTCGGGTCGGCTCTTCCGGGTCGACGTATAGCGAGGGATTATCTTGATGGGTTCAACATAACAAGCCGCTGGCAGAACGCAGCAGGGAAAGCTGGAGCCATGATATCGTTGGAGGTTAGGGAAGATGTGGCGATCCGTGGTATCAATCATGGGCCGCAGCCACTTGCGGGAAAGGTCATGAGCATCATCGTCGCCTTGATCTCGGCATGCACGCTTGCAAGTTTATTTGGTCAGTAACTCTAACGCGGAACGGTGTTGGACTGGCAGGAGCTGCGCACAACCTCAAGGAACAATTCTGAAAGCAATTACAGCCATGCGAGTATCGACCGTGAAGGACTGGAGGGTGTTACCATACACAATGTGGCGTATGGGCACTCCACTACCCGATATCCAGATGACTCTGACAATTTTCTAGTCGTACTCTGCATATATGTTTTCTCTTTTCTTTTCGTCTTCGGGACGTCAATTCTACAGTTCGGATTCGGAACCGACATGAACTTTGCAGCATGCTCAGCGGCAACGCTCTTTTGCCTCGGCGCCTATGTGTCAACAAAGGTCAGTCCAAGTCCTAGATACGTCAAGATGCTTCTTACTGACCGTGTTTGCAGCTGGTAAGTGTTGATGCACGTGTTTGTGTATTCAACAGATTAAAGACTGACATGTGACTCCACAGTTCATATACCTGTTCATGGTAGATCGAGCAGTAAGTCATTGCTCTACAGATGGCCCCCCAAGATATCCAGCTAACGATGACAACAGCACATCATCAGACAGACATCCAAACCCCGAATGAAGTCCAAGCTCTACCTATTCAACTCTTTCGGCATGCTTGGTATGGTTCATGTGGGAATCGACAGGTGTCATGGCTAACACGCGACACAGGGGTTTTCGTCCTCATTGTGATATTGAACTTCATCTTCCGAATAACAAATTACATTGACGGAATATGCATCATTGGACTTGGCCAAAATGTGATTTTGGCCCTGATATCCTTTGATGCTGCTGTTAATGTGAGCTTCGTTCTGACTTGACTCCATGTGTATGGGCTCTGACATCTACCAGGTTTACCTCACTATCATGTTCCTGCTCCCGCTACTAAGTAAGTCCAAAGAAGCTCAAGTCCATCAATTAACGTAACTAAATCGACGACAGGTCTTCATTCCGTCAAGTATAACTTCTGGAAACCGTGGACCTTGGATTGGAGAAACCGCCGGGTTCCCCGAGCGCCACCGAATATCAGACTTCGACGTCTTGTGATCCGTACTTTTATCGGCTCATGCTGTACTCTCCTTAGCAGTGTCACGTAAGCCACCGCCTCGAGTTTTCGTGAGCTTTCCACTGACTCGACGAAACAGGAATCTAGCAGTCCTGGGCGCACTCAATGGAGAGGTTGCGTGGTTGTGTTTATTATGTTGCAACACCGACAGTAAGAAGGATCCTAGGATGGTTATCGTGAGACGGTGCTGACATGTCACTGAATAGTCTTTTTCTCGGCCCTTGTGATGAACTGGATTACATCACCTGGTCAGGAGTCTACGCTTCGAACTATCACACGACCATCACGCGTTTCACACGCGACATTACGACCAGAGGAAGACCCAAGCATGCCGCTCGACCCTGATGGAAACAGCACGAACAAGACCTGGGAGCAGAGAAGAACCCATACTCCAACAACCATAGGTCTACACTCAGCGGAAGGCGATAACCTCCAAGACGGCGAGGATTTGGAACTGAACGACCGACACTCGATGGACCACGGGGAACGCGTGACATTGGAACATGACGAAGATGACCTTGAGGAGTCGGAGGAACAGGCGTCCAGGCACTCCAGAGTCAGGGAGGAGAAACGGGGCTCAAAACAATCGTAATTATCGCCATTATAGACTGTTCGGGGTTACGTGGTTTTACGGAATGATACCAAACGCACATGGCAATATCAAAACCGGGGTTTTGGACAGGGGCATACACGGAGTCTGGGATGCTACTACGTAGTACATGAAACATATGAATGAGTAAAATAATTGTAACGAGAATTCCCGCACCCTAGATGACCGCTGAGGCCAGCGGGGGGGGGGGGGGGGGGGGGGGGGGNGCGGGGGGGGGGGGGGGGGGGGGGGGGGGGATGTGATGGTGTGATGACGAAATTACAACGGACACTAAGGTACTCGCAAACCCCGCAGCCTACCTATATGCCAGTATTCAACCACCATTACCGGAATTACGATAGCTGACAGAAAGCGTATCTAAAACGGCACCTCTAAACCGTCTAATGCGGTGACGATCGACACACGCGAAACCAAATTCCCGTTCGTCCCGTTCAGAAAAACATGGCAAACAAGAACCTTAACCATGTGAGCATGTTAATTAGAACGGCTTCACTGGAAACGTCCGCAACAAATATCGGAGAATTGTAACATAGCACTATGCATTACCAGTGCAAGCAGAGGAATGGAACGCGCGAGAGAAGAAAGGTTGATAGTTATCTGGGCAAATTATCGAATGTGCTCTTGGCAGTAGCCCTCGCAGGGATTGTGCGCGTTTTCCCATCAATGCCCAAAGGAGGTGGTCTTGGCAGCGAGTGTAATGCTTTCTTCTACTGATACCTGATGTGCCCGAATGAACTGAGCGGGTTATGCTCCTCCATCTTTCCACCTGAAATTCTTCGTAATTGAGGTGGTTTATAGATTGATCGCCGATACAATCCTTTCAAGGACATTCGTTCGATAGAACTGTACATCCCCCAAATTGGTCGCAGCATGCGCCGAACCGGCCCTGGCAGGTGCCGAATTGGCACGCCTTCGCCTCTGTGAAAAACGGAATAAAAGTCAGGAATTCCCGTTACACAACCGCGCAATTGTTACGTAGGTATGACGAACCAGCTAGTGCCAAGACGGATACGAGAGCGAGCAGGGTCTTGGTAAGTTGCATTCTGTATGGTGGTTGGTGTAGCTTCTGGTGTGGGTGAATATGCTTAAAGTTTAAACGATGCGCCGTGCCTGACGACTCGCGGATAGTGACGAACCGGGCAAAATAATTTGTGAAGACCTTGTAGAGTATGAACAACAGTTGCAGCTTCTGGGTCTGCGTCACAAAATGTTGGAAAACGTGCGATCTTATATACACTTCTAAGGCTTCTGCTATGGAATAATCCGACATTTCTATTCTGACACCAGCGGGTTGCTCCACGTACATTTCTATTCGGAGTTGATCACCAACTCCCACTGGTCGTACGCGACTGTTGAGAGACTACTGAAGCATAAGCCGCTGTAAATCAAACCTTAACGAAGACCGGCTTGTATATACGGGCAATGCTTTGACAAGGCATTGATAGGTCGGAATGCGTTCCGAGGTGCGCAATTTCCGGGGGAACCTTACTCGCTCCCTAGCTTCCAAAACATTTTAAACCCGAACCCGTCGGACGACACCAAAGACAGCCTGGGGAATGCTTGTGAAGGAATTCAGATCCCGTTGGAGAAGGGAACCAGGACCCTGACGCAAGACTCCATAAGTCAAGGTCAATCAGTCAAGGTCAATCAATTGGCGCTTGGATGGCCTGATTGGGAAGTCCACGTGTGATCAGGTACATATCCGGAAAACTACGAAATGTAATTTGGGATGAAATCGTGAAAGCCAATGAGAACGGTCACAAGAAAAGATACAGCCGCGGATGCAAACCTAGATTGACAGCGTAAGCCCTAACGCCCCGATGTGTTGGAAACTTTTCACCTTGTATGACAAAACTAAACGCATTCAACAGATGGACCTATTGTTTCAATTCCTCTTTCGTTTTATTCGCGCATGCTGAACCGACTCATACCCCGTAGCCTTGCGCCAAATACCCAGAGTAAGATCGGTGCCGGGATCCCAATGACGACCGCGATAGCAGCTAATAGACTTCCGCCAAGTCCATATCCCAGTTTTCCGAAAAGCGCTGGAACAAACAGCGGAAACACGAAAGCGAACATGGACCTCATGAAACAACATGCAGCCGACGCAGAGGCGGTGTACAGCGGATAAGAGTCGGCTATATAGGCCGAGATGCATTGGTACGATATCATAGTGCTTCCCATCGTTATCGCAATGCCAATCTATTGGTCCTGAGTCAGGATGCTGTCCCCGTAAAGATATTCGACTCTGAAGAGACTTACGTTTGGAATGAGAAAATGCAGTCTGTTCTGCGCGGACCATGCAAACAACAGCATCCCAGCAGGCGTGACGAGTGAACTAGGAATCATCAAGGGAATGCGAAATTCGGGTCTCCCTGGCTCCTCCATCCCGATCCCGGATTTTGTCTTGAGCCGACGGTAGACTGTATCCATAGTAGGGGCGCAGATTATAACTCCGATCAGGGACCCGACGGCGATCGAGATGTAGTTCAGACTTGCTCTGCCCTTTGACATCCCGTAGTGCTCTTCCCAAAGAGTAGGAAATCCGGAGATGACGAGATAGAGCAGGCCAAAGTTAAAAGCCTGAAGAATTGCTAGACTTTGAATGATGGGCTGAGTTGCAAGCATCACCCAGGGTCTCGACAAGCTGACTCGAAGAATCTTCGTCAGAGTGCGTTGCTCTCGTTCCCAGGCAGTCTGGAACTCTGGATTACGTGACTCCTTGCGGAGCTTCCTGGCTTTCAGCACAAGAAGGCGAGGTGTATATGTCTCTTTCAGCAGGAAGAATGCCACAGCCTGTACTGCGACGTTGAAGATGACGACTGTCCAGAATGCCCAGCGCCAGGTGGCGTACTGCGAGATGTAGCCGCCAACTGGAACAAGGTTAGCATCAATGATTGAAAATAGACAATGAAATGGGGAAGACGCACCAATGGGACCTAGTGCAGGGCCAATGACTGGTGCAAATTGCATCACGGCTATTCCTTTTCCGCGCTCTTCTGGGCGCCAGCAGTCTGTCAAGACGCCGCTTCCCATCTGGCCCCAACCATTAGCTGAAATCGCCTGTTGGAGCGTTGTACGAGACTAACCCCTGTTGTTGCACTTCCTCCAATCCCGGCTAGAAACCGAAAGGCGATAATTTGCCCTTTCGATGTCGCAAAGCCGCAGAGAGTGGTGAACAATATGAAAATCGTGTTCCCTACTCTGACTATCGGTGTACGGCCCCATATTTCTGAGCAAGGTGACAGTATGAATGGGCCGAGTGCGTAGGTGAGCAGAAAGATCGACAGGACGAGTTGGAGCTGGACTTGGTTGTCTATATGAAGATCGTGTCCAATCGGACCTAAAGCTGGGGCGGCAATGGAGGAGGAGAGGGGCGAAAGAAATGCGAATGCCGAGATAATCAGGGACATCTGTTTGAAAGTCAGATATTGGATGGACGCATCAGAACCCTTAGGATAACCCACTGTCCATTTCTGCCTTCTGTCCCAATTCTTGGGGTTCTCTGGGTCATGTGGTCCATCCCAAGAGACCTGATCAAAACGTTAGCCAAGAAATCTGTCAAAATGATTAGACCAACCCACCAAAAAGGACTCGGGCTCTGGAAGATGCTTGTCCTGACTCGGATCTTGTGATATCGGCGATTCCCGGCCGCAGATAGTCGAAGCTTTGCTGCTGACAGCGTCACCGCACAGCGTCGAGAGGGAACTGTTGCGGGAAGGAGACGGCCTTGACCCCCTCTCACTGTCCGTTTGCATCGTGATTTGAGCGGTCATGATCTTCGATTCGGCATGGAGCAGAAACAGGGCAAGACTGAATGTCGCTGGAGATGAAAAGACTTCGACTGCAGCCAACCTCTCGAGGAGTACTTATCCCCTCCGCTCGGTCTTCGTGGCTTCGAAGGAAGAGTTTTCATTACGAGAGCGCAAGACAACGGCATGCGCAAGCAGCAACTCGGCCAATGGCTTTGTGGGCGTTACCGCGTCGTCGTCTGGCCACAAGCTACTTACAATCCTTGCTGCCAGACAAAGCGTGCCTTGCAAGCAACCCAGGATGACTAGGTTGCAGACGACGATGCAGCAGTAGCATTTTCCATACCGGAAACTCGGGTCTGGCGCACAATCTCATTGTCTCTGGTGTAGTGTGGCGTATGGGGAAAATGACACTAGGACGGGTTCACTATGGACTACCGACGCCCCGTGCCGGGGAGCCGCAGCTGAAATTAGGTTTTCATCTGCTGGTTTGCTTTTATGACGACCTTTCACAATCGCTAACTACATATGAACGCTAAAGACAGGCAGTGGAACACGAAGATACAGCCAGCAGTAGCTCATTAATGAAACATTCCCAAGAGAGGACATAAAGAGTCTAGCCATAGAATGATAGCGTGTGCCAGAGACGGTTATTACCAATCCCGAATAACAGCAAAAATGAGTTGTGTTCAGCTATCTATTAGCCTCGAGAGGCAAAATAAAGGTCCATCCAGAATTCGAACCTGGGCTTACGGAAGGGACTGATTATTAGATCAGAATCCGACGTCCTAACCAACTAGACTAATAGACCAATGCAGTTGAATTGCTTCCTTGCTGGGAGTGCCGCTCGTGATAGTGTACAAGTGGGACAAGAGGAGCGGGTCGAAGCCCTCGTCTGGTGGGCTCTGAGAATCTTGAATGGGGCCTGTGGATCATCACGATGCTTAACCCATAATTGGTCCGAGCGCTTGGCACTTCGTCTTGCTTTGCTGCCAAACATATCAAGAATGGGATTTCGTTCAGCATAAAATTCCTGTCATTGGAGCTGTCCAAAACAAGGCAAGTCCAACTGTAGTCCAAACAACTAAGATGCTCGAGGCCTTGTTGTCACGGGAGGCATAGACGTTTTCAAGACGCCAGGTCCCACGACCCCGGTTTGTGGCGCTCAGCTGGGCGGTTAGTCTCTGCGCCGCGTTGTGGGATTTCCGATTTAAGACATTATGGAAGGCCGGGTCTTTCATGGAATGCTTTGCGGAAATACCGTGCGGTTCAGCTGAACACTAGTTGCGGCTGGGCCAGTGGGGCTAGACAGCGCCGCAACGCTGAGATGGCATTTTCATTCTGAAAGGGGGAAAAAGGCACGCGACAAGTTTTCACCATCCGGACTGCAAAACGCAACATTGGCATACAACAGACATGTCAGAATGTGTTAAGAATTGACAAGACATGGTCCAAAACCAAAAAGAAACAGCATGGGCAACCTGAGGGAGACAAAAGAATTGGACGAACAGGGAATCGAACCCTGGACCACTCACATGCTAAGCGAGTATTATACCACTAAACCATTCGCCCATTTAATTGGTTGACAATACTTGCCCTACGACTAATCATCAAGCTATTGCTGTCAGGACGGTTCTCAGCGACAGTAAAATGGCCGCCGGTTCTCCGGATCATTCTCAAATGTTTTGCCGCTTTAAGCATTGAAGTTGTTACTTTACCATCTTTCCTCTCTCACAATGTCCGATGCCCTCCGGGCTTGCGTAGCTTCCGCAGGCTACGTAGCGGCCAAAACAGAAAAGCGGAATGGCTGCCCGTCTCCAAATTGTCTCGCTGGAAGAATCCCTGATGACCGGATTGCTCTCGGCGCTTCTCAAGTAGATTAAGGTCGCATCCGGTCGGCAGAATGCGAAACTGCGGGGGAATCAACCCGGCCGAGCGTCGATCTTACGAGATCGACTGACCAAAATCACTCGAAGAGGTAGCAGTTTAAGATCCTCCGAGATTCAAGGACTTAGCCGTGCATCTGTGCCAGGCTTGATGTCTTGAATTTCCAATCTGATTGCACGACTGGGGCCCGGCCAAACAGGGCGGAAAGCAAAAGCAAAGACTTGGCGGGTTCACTGCTTCATTAACACGATGCAATGACCCGGTTGAATCCCGATGATGCACTCTGTTCTGTTGTTCTTCGCACCATGCTGGTCGTGAACGGCCCCCATACAACTCCTGGAATGGTTCACTTAGGTCACGTTGGCATCAAATAGGTTGCTATGAAGATCTTTGCCATAGTAGTGTCGTGTTTTCCTCCGAGGCTTGATGTATTTGATCGAGGGCATGGCTCGATAACATGTCCTGACTATGTGCCTACGTCCAAGACACATCTTCGAGGAATAATGTTGCCTACAGTTGCCTTCACGGCAGCGGCTCTCTTCAGTCGGGCGGCGGCCCACAGTCGCATCACGAACTTCGTTATCGACGGTGCCTCGTACAACGGGTATAACGCTAAAGTCCCCAACAACCCCAAGCTCCTAGCGGCGTGGAGCACAACAGTGAGCGACGATGGCTGGGTCAGCACAGACAGCTACGGAGGACCCAACATCGTGTGCCACCGGAACGCAACCAACCCTGCAGGCCACGCACCGGTAGCAGCGGGCGACACGATTGCCTTCCAGTGGCAAGGCTGGCCAGAATCCCATCACGGCCCCGTGGTAACACATCTCGCGTACTGCGGCTCTGAGAGAGGATCTTGTGAAGCAGTGGACAAGACGACATTAAGCTTCTTCGCCATCGACAAGGTCGGGCTGATCGACCCTAATAAGAACGCGACTGAATTCGCAACCGCCAGAGGGATCTGGGCAAGCGACGTCCTCATACAGAACAATGCTAGCTGGGTGGTTCAAGTACCATCCAAGATAGCGCCGGGATATTACGTTCTCCGCCACGAGATTGTTGCGCTGCATTTCGCGAGGTATCCTGGTCAGGGAGCTCAGCATTACCCGCAGTGTATCAATATCCAAGTGACCGGTGGAGGAGGAGATCGGCCGACCGGGACGCTGGGCACCAAGCTGTACCAGCCAGCAGAGGAAGGATTGATATACGACATCTCACAGAGCCCGCTTCCTCCGTACAAGATCCCCGGGCCGACGGTATACACCGGAGCAAAGACCTTTGCTGCTCAGACGGGAGCGCGAGTTTTATCTTCGGCCACTGCGATACCAGGAGTTCCAGGGAATGACACCAAAAGTGTGGCTGGAAGATTCCAAGAGAGTGTTAAATCGGTGGAGGAAACGCGGACACTCAGTCCGACAGCACGGCCGTGATGGAGCTAGGTCAATGATTGTACGGTTGAACACATCAGATATCCCCACGCGATTACTTTCCTCATCTGAATAGTGAACAAAAAGCGTAAGAAATTGCGTAATGGCATTGACTTCTCAATGAACGAAATTTCGGAGTGACACACGACGCTGGTAGAAACTTCCGTAAGGCGTTGATGATGGGTGGTTTGACAGAAACTGCTGGGCGCGATTGACAGTTTACGAACACCTTTTAAGGGGCGGCGCCCTTTGCCGATCCACCGGGGCATTTGGCCGATCTCACCCCGCCCACTTCCCCGCGCCTACATCAACTTGGCCGGGTCTGCCAATCGGGGACGGTTCAATTGTAAACATCATCCTCACCAACTCATCCTCACCAACACCATTTCGAATTGAGTTCCGGTTGTCGATACACACAGGCAGCTATCGAAAAATGATGCAATGGACAAAACTGTTTTCATCCATCTCCGGCCAAGTGAGGTCATACTCCTCGGTGAGGACTTCGTTATCGGGATTGAAGATCAACGCCGACCGACTGCAAGAGACTCTTCACCACACGTGTCAATGGGGAGCTGCGCATAGATATGGCAAGTAAGTACGATTATGTTTCTATGGCTTTGTTCTTCCTGTTTCGGGCAGCTGCTCACAAACTTATTGAGTGGTAGAGGTGCGACAGAGACTGGCATGGCTCGCCTTGCCCTGTCTGATGATGACGCCAAGGTTAGACGCTGGTTTGCCGACGAGGTGACTGGAAACCTTGGTTGCGATCTCGCCGTGGATGAGATGGGCAATATGTTCGCAAAGAAGAAGGGTTCTCTCAATTCAACGAGCCCGATGACCGCCATGGGAAGCCATCTCGACACCCAGCCAAGAGGTGGTCGATACGACGGGATCTTGGGTATCATGTCAGCGATTGAAGTAATGCGCACCCTTAAGGAGAACGGATACAAGACACAATATGATGTTGGCATTGTCAACTGGACAAAGTGAGTCTGCTGGATGACTGTCCATCAGTGTTATCATAGCTGACTCAAACCAGCGAGGAAGGAGCCCGCTTCCCTATGTCAATGATGGCATCAGGTGTCTGGGCCGGTAAGGTTCCTCTTGAAAAGGCCTGGGCCATGGGCGATATCTTCGATCCATCCGTCACAGTTAAATCCGAGCTTGCCCGCCACGGCTACATCGGTCCTATTGCCTGCTCCAGCCAAGGCTATCCCCTCGGCGCGCATTTCGAGCTTCACATTGAGCAGGGTCCCATTCTAGAAGAGAACAGCAGGAAGATTGGTGTTGTGCAGGGTGCGCAGGCATATCGCTGGTTCACCTTCACGATCAAGGGCCGCGACGCGCATACCGGCACGACACCCCTCAAGTCTCGATCGGACCCCCTTCTTGCCGCGTCCAAGATGATTGCAAGCTCCAACGCAATCGCGAAAGAGCTCGGTGCCTTGGCCTCTACTGGCGTCATAAAGATCCCTCCCAGCTCATCCACCAACACGATCCCGTCTCAGGTCACCTTCACCCTAGACATTCGGCACCCGGAAGATAGTGTCGTCGACGACGTGCAAAACCGCGTACTCGAGTCGTTCAGTACCATTGCAAAGGCGGATGGCAGGGGAGTTCAGGTAGAATGGACTCTCGACACGGACTCGCCTGCAGCAAAGTTCCATCCTGATTGCATCAATGCCGTCGAGG